TCAACACAGTGCGTTACGAAAAATGAAAGAAATGGCATTTAAAATCAGTCATTAAAAAGAAAAGCTAATAAAATAAACATTAAAAGAAAAAATACATGGATAAAAGTTACAGTGCAGTCTAAGATATGAATAGTTCAATTAAAAGCAGCGACAAAAAGAAAAGTCTTCAGCCTGGATTTAAAAGTAGTCAGAGTTGCAGCGGACCTGCAGGTTTCTGGGAGTTTGTTCCAGATATTTGGAGCATAATAACTGAACGCTGCTTTACCATGTTTAGTTCTGACTCTGTTTAGTCCCTGAAGACCTGAGAGATCTGGATGGTTCATAATTTAGCAGGAGGTCAGAAATGTATTTTGGGCCTAAACCATTCAGTGCTTTATAAACCAGCAGCAGTAATTAGGTTTTAAAGTTTTATATTTTGAGCAAAACACTTCATAGACATGTTTTTTATATATTTTTAAATATCTGAGACCTATGCTATTGCCTAAAAATAGAATGATAGGTGACCTTTAATATTATTGCTTTCAACTAACCAAATACAGGACATCTGTTGACACAATAGATTTAATTCAAGTCACCGTTTAATTTTCTCAGTGCAGTTGGAAAAAAAGGTTAGATGTGGTGTTCAGCAACTCACCAATCCCACCAAAAATAAAAGGAATGTATTCAAAAAGGAAATTTGTTTAGCATGATCACAGTTCACACAGCAGCTCTCACAACATATTTAGGAATGCTTTGATTTGACAATGAGCAATAAAGCCTGAGCTCAGTGTGAGTGACGGGGTTAATGGTGCGGGTTGAAAGGTCGACTTTAACAGTGAGTGAGCTCATGTGCATGACTCTCTTTCCCGGAACTGCAGAAGGTCTTCCCTCCTCTTAAGGCCCTGCACCATCACGTCACTGCACCACCACCGGACCCTCTGCCTGGGATGATGGCTTCGATCAGGTGTCAGGGAAACAAATAATTTAAATGACATTTGAACCAGTCTGACCCACAGCCAGTTATTCAGCCATTAGCTTAAAATGATCAACCATCTTCCTTGGATAATTTTCCTTAGTCTGCTCTCTAAATAGGAATGATCAAATAACAACCTAATCTGGGGGAAATGAAAGGAAATCAGATATTAAAAACGTTGTGTGTCTGTGTTTGCATTGTTGAGTTAACCTTTATTAACTCTGCCCTAAAAGTAACAAACTCCTTAGAAATCTGAGTAGTATTCCAGAGATAAATCCTTTTGAAAAATAAAATTATGTTTGAACATGCATGTTGTTTAGTAAGTTTGGGAAGGTGCTGATACGATTGTGTAGATAATATTGTTTTGACCCATCTGTAGCCACATTGGACATTCCTATCAGCCTCTGCTGTACACTGTGTTTAATGCTAATCAAACAGCACGCTTTCTCAAATGTAGGCTTACATGCCTACCACTTTGTGCTTCATAATTATATCTGACATACATATGGCCATTAAGTCTAACATGAGATAAGTATTATAACACACTCTTTCTCAGCTTGACTTATTCTGGTATGACCAGTGGCATATGGTAGCTGATGTCTCATTGTTTAATTTGTTAAAAAAAAACGTTTGATTGGCTAGCGCTTGTACTGGCATATGATTTGATTGGCTGACGCTTCCGTCGAAGCTTGAAAAATTGAACTTTTCTCAACTTTTGAAGCGAGCAACGGAGGCAAAGCGACGGAACCACAATGCAGTTCGGCAAAGCCTGACGTCACCCCATTCAAAGTGAATGGGAAGCGTCTCCGTTGAAGCACGCGACGCTGCCGTGTGGACGTACCGTAACTAGGGGTGTAACGGTATCCGTATTCGTCCCGTACCGTCACGGTTCGGACGTCACGGTTCGGTGCATGCAGTCACACGACGAATACGCCTTTTTTTTACGAATGGGAAAAAAGTCTGTCATTCAGGGCCGTATCCACTACACTATATATAATCCAGGGGAAGGTATTGCGCATAAAAGCTGTTTGTCAGCCGCCCTTAAACAACAAATGAAGAAGAAGAAGAAAACATAACAAAACGAACAAAATACAAGAAGAAGAAAAGTTAGTATTGTGACTTTTCACAATACTAACTTTTACACACCCAGATTTGGCTCCTGTATAATAATACAGGAGCTTAGAAGACCCACCCGCTTCTTTGAAATCAGCTGTGTGGGAACATTTCAGGTTCCCTGTGGACTACAACAACGATGGAGTGCAGTGGTGGATCGGACGAGGACGGTGTGTCGGCGTTGTTCGACAGCGATGCGGTATGTTAATAGTAACACACGCCAAACATGCTAAATCATATCAGAAGGCATCACCCAGATTTGGCAATCACCGGAGCCCGGCAAAAGACAACAGCAGTTCAACAGCTTATCCCCGCTGTTTTTAAGAAGCCAATAGACATGAAAGCCGAGAGACCAACATAAATAACGGAAGCTTAAAGTTTTGGCTTATGTTTTTCAACGGCTATGTGCGCCCTTATGCAATAGTAGAGGACCCCGGCTTTTATTGATTGTGATTGAAAGTGATTGAAACACTATCTTATTATTTATTTTGTAATATTTTCAAGACATTCTTTTTAGTTTTACAGCTTGATGGAACCTTTTTGTTTGACATCAGCCATTATAGATAATATGGCCATCTGAGTGTGTGTGGTACTGTTTGTGGTTTGTTTTTAACTGTGTAATACAGTTAATTATTGAAAATGTTAGATTTCCTTATTTTTGTACTGAAACTTACGCTATACTGTTCAAAATAAATAAAAAACAAACCTTGAATTATGCATTTGGGACTTCTTTTTTATTTTTCTTGTTGTAACGAACTCGTACCCGTACCCGTACTCGTACCTCGTACCCGTGACCCCCAAACCGAGGTACGTACCAAACCGTGAATTTTGTGAACGCTCGTGAGCGCCGTGTTATGCATGCCCACTGCACCTTGCTGGAGCGCACACAGCGTAAAGAAAAAACTCGCAGACATTTCAAAGTTAGGTTTGGAAACTATATAATTTCCTTTTTGGCGGGCGTGCATAACAGGGCATAACACCGGAGCCTCGCTGCCGGGAAACTTTGGCGCTGTTCCGAGTTTGTTCTCATCACTGCTTTTAGATTTGTCCGTCATTGTTAAAAAAAAATCCGTCATAGACGGAAAATATTCGGTTAACGCGACCTCTGGGGCAGCTATCATCTAACTCGTAACCGCTTTAAACTCCCTGGATCCAAATAGCAGACAGTTTCCATATTTCTAGAGAATATGTTGTATGTGGCAAGGTTTCAATAAAGGATTATGTTTGCTTTTTGTTTATTGTTCCTATTGACATGTATTTAAATGTAAATGTCTGAATTGGTTGAAGGCTTACATTGACCTTAAAATGATAAAGATATAATATAACTGTTAAAGCGTTGATGAGGAAAGATAGTATGAGCCACTTCTCATACTGGTATATGGCAATAGGAATCTATATCTTTTTACTCAACTTGCTTTAGCAATACCAGGCCAGTAAAAATAAGGGAACATATAAGATTCAACATCCATTAAATCAAAAAATAAATTAGATAAAGTTTGTCCTGAGAGTATGCTGGAGGACAGACAATTAAATAATTCCCTCATTCAGTCATTGGGATTGTGCCCAGCATCATTCACAACAATCTGTGTATTAAATTGTAAAATATCATGTTAAATAAAAGTTATAATGAGTATACATCTGAGAATAAAAACAAGCTTAACTGATGTACTTGTTTAGTAGATCTCTGGCCCTTCAATTGTAGCTTTTGACTGGGGAATTCTGAGTTGATTGGTTAATCTATAATTGAATCCCTTTATTTAACAGATGTTGTTGTTCATAATTTATCATAATTATTTGTATTATGATTTATAATACAGGCACCTAGCAAGAGAAATATACATTTAGTTATTATACAAAGTTTACTGTCCTAAACAAACTAGTAAACCTTAAATAAACAAAAAGATAACGTTTTATTTGTAGATACTGTACTGTGTTTTCCCCCTTCCCTTATAAGGCTTATCTTAAGGCAGAGTGCAGTATGTTCTTGTTTAGGGCATTTTATTGTACTGTATGGTGAATGCATATATAGCCTTTACATCACCCAGTCTTTCTGGCACCTGGACAAGTTTGATTTTCTTATACATCAACGTAGCCTACCTGTTTCTCCCTTTGAGCAATTTTGTGTGAACAATTTTGTGTGAACAAATATTCATAAAGTACTTATTTATAGAATCCTAAGTTGTAAACTTATTAATAGAGCGACACAGGTCTATTGTCTTGATTAGGGATGTAAAGTATAACTGTGGTTTCATTCTTGACCTTCAGCGAGATAAGCAAAATAAGGCAGACATGGATCATTCTCAGAGCATTTATACTATCTTCTTTCACAGTTTAGCCACACTCACAGGTTTTGACCTTTTGAGACCGATTTACATTATGTCAGGTAAATTGCGACATCTAGTGGTTTTGATGTGAACAGTTTATTACACTCATTAAAGATTCATTTTGCGATTTTTAACCAGACACGAACACGCTCACATTTAGACGTAGTGGGGTGAAACATCTATGGGGTAGAACTACATTACCAACAATTCGTTTATGGGTAATGTTCTTAATGTTCATTGATATCGTATTTTAATAAACAAGTATGTAACAAGGCGTATTAGACTACGGCAAGTGGACATTGCTGATATGTTGCATTTGAGGCATATGGTTTAAAACTGAGATGAAATTTGAGCCCTGGTCGTATAAGGTTAAAACATTAGTGAATCTAATTAATTAAATCTTTTTCTTGGAAGTTTGTTTCGCGTATCTTCTGAAATACACTATTTAGATTTGAACACTCCTTCAAATGTGTATTCGACACACTTATTTCTACGAGTTATTTTTATTCTGTCTGGTTTTACACGGATTTAACAAGAACATGTGAATGCAACACATTCTCGAGGGAGCGGTGGCGGTCTCTTTGAAGTTTAATTTAACGGCTGGAGTTGAGGCGTGGAAGCCGCCTTCTGAGGTAGGCAAACGATTCAGTTATTTCAAAACTTATATGCATGACATTACGATATTTTATATTACAAGTTATACGTCGGTCAATATGACTAATTTGTGTGAAATGAATTACCCGTTTGAACCGCGAACTATACGGTGGAATTGGAAAGGACAGAAAGGCAGGTTGTTAGGCTGCTCATTGTGTAGCCATTGTGTTTACGAAATTGCGACAATTTGCTTTTAGTTCCTGCTTGATTTAACTAGACTAGATGTGAATAGACTAATGTTAATCCATGTCATTCTCCCAATAAGTATAACTATCAACGTGATACTGTTAGGCAGGGGCAGGGATGGACTGGCCATTGGGAATACCGGGAGTTTTCCCGGTGGGCCGGTACCGATGTGGGCCGGTCGGACAATTCACTAGCACCTGAGTTATGATCGGTCATAATTAAGATGTTTACAGTGAGATTTACTCACATACTTTTGGCAATACTCGCGCAGCCCTACAAATGAACTGAGATTTCCACACAATTTGAAGGTTGGATATTTGTAAAAAGAAAAATGGTGTCACATGAATAATGAACCACTGAAAGCTCAGTATCTGAGAAGCTGCAGCACACTCCTTGGCAAAGCATCAAACACCACTGCATATTCTTTTGGTGTATCCGGTCAATCAAATGTAGAGGAATTCAAAAGTGGAAATTAGTTTCCAGGCCATCAGGTCTTTCTTATGAAAGTTTGATAATGTTATAGGCAACTTGTCAATATTATAATCACATTGAAGTAGAAATGTAACTCTGCCTATTAAGCCTACCTTGTTTCATGCTGGAGTGTAATTACCTTCACGTCAGAGATGGAAGAAGTACTCAGATCTTGTAATTGAGTAATAGTAGAAGTATCAGAGTGTAGGAATACTCTTTTTCAAGTAAAAGTCCTGCAATCAAAAATATTACTCAAGTGTAGAAGTACAAAGTAGCAAAACATTGAAATACTCTTCAAAGTACCTCCAAAGGGTACTAAAGTATAGAGTACTTGAATACATCCACGTATTGACATTACACCACTGCTTTACGTATACAGTTTGTGGTAATAACATATCATAAATATCTGTAATGAACTTTTACCAAGTAAAGTATAGCACATCTCTTAAGAAACCTAATACGAGCTAAATCAGTTAACTTTACAAATTGACCATCAACCGATATGTGAGCCCGTTTTGTGTCCCATAAGCTTTATTGCAGCTTCGATCCAGAACCATGTGTTTCAGCAGGCCGAGGTTTCTATTACATGTAGGAGGTGGTGCCAAGTCTACGATATCTGCCCACTCATACACTGTAACTGTCGACATGATGCATCAGAGAGCTCCGTAAACCAAATGTTTGATCATAAATGGCCCGAAACAAGAAATTGGAGATAGTGTTATTGTTAACCGGGGTAGAAATGTTTCTTTGGGCTCCCCTCATTTTAGAAAAAAACAGCATCAAAATTAGACAGAGTTTAAGAAACACATATACATTCATATTACATATTACATTTGATTATGTCAATGTTTGTCGCTTAAGTCTTTTCAGTCGTACTGTTGGGTTTAGAATAGGAATGGTACTTGTGACGAAGGACTTCTTAAATCATGTTAACAGGGTTATTATGCAGGTGTGTTATTTGTTCTCAGGGGAATACATTTGACTGTCCTGTCCTATTATTAATATACAGAGTAGTCACTTGCTTGACTTAGTTGACCTTTGTAGATGCACTTTACATTCATCACGTCTGTCTCCCAGGGCCAGGGCCAAATGTTACATCTTAATCGTGAACAAAATAGTTATGTTAAAAACATGATAGGGAAGAAATGACTCAGAATCTTAATCAGTCAAAGTCAACTTTATTGTCAATCTCAAAATATGTTTGTACACACAGAAAGATCAAAATGCTGTTTCCCACAATGAGCAAAGCTAAATGAAGCTGTTCAGTAAAACACACATGAAAGCATATGTGTTTGTAATACAGGACATACATTACAGCATTTATATATACAGCCTTTCTTTGACACATCAAATGAAAGCATGACAAACACTTCCATACAGGGCAGTGTGTGTCACTGAATGCTTTGACCTGTCACCATATGTGTCATTTTGGAGGGTCTCGTAAAAACAACACTCTCCCCACATCATCATCAAAAAACATCATTTCAGATGATTGCTGTTCACATGTTCACTGTAGATCAGGGGTGCCCAACCTTTTTTTAACCGAGAGCTACTTTTAAAGTTGCCAGTCTGCCGAGATCTATCAGTCCAAATAGAGAGGCGTAGTTACTGACAGCCTACTACCAGGTAAATACACACTTCTACTTGTATAAAACTGACCTTTGTACGATGAATACTTCATAAAATACTGCAGATACTTTATCTCACCTCTTTCTAATCTACACACATACAAGTATTTAACTGAAGTTACACAACAGTGTTGTTGATACAGAGTTGGAGTTTATTCACACGTCACTACAGTGGGTAATGTTTTCAAGAAACATTGAACAGTGCTGCCACATATGACACAGGAAAAAAAGAAAAGACTCTGAACCCTTTCTTCATTATATAAAAATAGTGTTGCTACAAAAGTATAAATTAGGCTTACTAATAAGACAACTCAGATCTGAAGCTACACAGGAATCTGCTGCCAAAGTGCAATAAAAAAGACAACATTAATAGAATCAAACCCTTTTTTGTAGCATTTTAGTAGATTATAAAAATAAATGCCTTTAAAATAGGATGCAAGCAACACTAGTTTCTTAACCTGAATTGATAATAGACTATAATCAATTTAAACAGAACAGATCTTAATGTTTGCATTCTTATACCATTTTGTACAATAATTATAATGAATAAGTTCAAACAAACTAAAACTTACAGCTGATTAATAACGGTATCTAACTTAAGTTTTTATTATATCAAAAACCTGTTGAAATGCTTCTGTTATTTTTTACTGTCCCCCAAAAGCGCGTCGGCAGCCTCCAGGCACGCTTCTTTCACAACTTCGCCGTCTTTGAAAGACTTCATGTGTTTCGCAAGAACGTGACTGACACGATAAGATGCTATGGTAGCAGCCTTGCTCTTGTTGTTGGGCCTGGTGAAAAGGGACTGCTGTGCATTTAGCTGTCCTTTCAGGTCCCTCCCCTTTTGGGAGCGTAGGGCAGGGAGGGAATTCCGTCTCGTAGTGTTTGTGCACTGTTTTGAAATGCCGCTCCTAAATGACCCTTCTTCGATAAAGCCACGCTATCATTGCAGATGAGACAGATGGACTTTGAATTGGAATAGATATAAAAATAATCATCCTCCCACTTGGAGTGAAAATTATATATTTTGGGCTTTTTTGCTTCTGCCATAATTGTGGTCTTGTGTGACTGTCACTCCTGTTGACACGGACAACGTCAGCGAAATAGTGCCCACTGCTCACCAGCCACGCCCCGACACATGGGGTCACGCCGGCCAATCACAAAGCTTTGATGCGTTCAAGTGCATAATTCTGGCACGGGAAGATTATGTTGCAGGACATTAACGATAAAACAGAATATTGTTGTTCTATTTTTAGACACATCTCGCGATCGACTGGGAATCTCCCCGCGATCGACTGGTTGGGCACCCCTGCTGTAGAACAACACATGAACCCCCGACTGAAAGGTACTTTGGGAAAACCCAATGACAGAAAACTCAGACTAATGAACAATTATTTTCATCATCAATAAATCTGCTGATCACATCATTCATTCATTCATCCATCCATCCATCCATTCATCCATTCATCCATCCATTCATCCATTCATTCATCATCCATTCATTCATCCATCCATCCATTCATTCATTCATCCATCCATCCATCCATTCATCCATCATCCATTCATTCATCCATCCATTCATCCATTCATCCATTCATTCATTCATCCATCCATTCATTCATCCATCCATTCATTCATCCATCCATCCATCCATCCATTCATCCATCCATTCATTCATCCATTCATTCATCCATTCATTCATCCATTCATTCATCCATCCATCCATCCATTCATTCATCCATCCATTCATTCATCCATTCATTCATCCATCCATTCATTCATCCATTCATTCATCCATTCATTCATCCATCCATTCATCCATTCATCCATTCATTCATCCATCCATCCATTCATTCATCCATCCATTCATTCCATCCATCCATTCATCCATCCATCCATCCATCCATCCATCCATCCATCCATCCATCCATTCATCCATTCATCCATTCATTCATCCATCCATCCATTCATTCATCCATCCATTCATCCATCCATCCATTCATCCATCCATCCATTCATTCATCCATCCATCCATCCATCCATTCATCCATTCATCCATCCATCCATTCATCCATTCATTCATCCATCCATCCATCCATTCATCCATTCATCCATTCATCCATTCATTCATCCATTCATTCATCCATCCATTCATCCATCCATTCATCCATTCATTCATCCATCCATCCATTCATTCATCCATCCATCCATCCATCCATCCATCCATTCATTCATCCATCCATTCATTCATCCATTCATCCATCCATTCATCCATTCATTCATCCATTCATCCATCCATCCATTCATCCATCCATTCATTCATCCATTCATTCATCCATCCATCCATTCATCATTCATCCATCCATTCATCCATGCATTCATTCATTCATCCATTCATCCATCCATTCATCCATCCATCCATTCATTCATCCATTCATTCATCCATCCATCCATTCATCCATTCATTCATCCATCCATCCATTCATCCATCCATTCATTCATCCATCCATCCATTCATTCATCCATGCATTCATTCATTCATTCATCATTCATTCATTCATCATTCATTCATTCATCATTCATTCATTCATCATTCATTCATTCATTCATCCATCCATCCATGGACTTTAGTCGATCAAACATTAAAAGTATTTTTCAGCAAGACCAATTGAGCTTGATTGTTTTCAGTGTAAAAGCACATGGACATAGAAACAGAATAGAGCTAACCAATATTCACATTGGAGAATCTAGAGTTTTGCTTAGATAACTCAAAATGAAATCATATCAAAATACTTGCTACTAATCTTATTCCGATGTCTGTTTCTGAAAGAAAGCTGGAAAGAAAGTCAAACACTACACAGATTTAATGTCTGCCTTTTCTTCATTTGAGTTATTGTTTTTGTACATGATGCAAATAGGATCTTGCAAAAGAATATTCTTTTAATTGACTTTTTAAATAAATAGAACATTTTATGATCACATTCTTGGCAACTTGTCCCTCTTCTACACACCTGTCTCATGGAGTATTTGCAAAGTGTTTTTTCTGCTGTGTTTAGTGTGTTTATATACATACCAGCAGTGTCAGACTAACCTGCTGACTGTAACTATGCCCCTTCCTCTTTCTGTTGAACAGAGCCATGAGTGACTGGGAGGAGACGGACTTCTACGAGGCGTGGAACTGGACACCTGGAATAGTTCAAAGAAAAAAGAACCCTAAAAAGGAGAAGAAATGTAAAAAACGTCAAAACGACCCGACAAAGAAAAAGAAAAAGAAAAAGAAACATTCGAAATGTAAAGAAACAATGGACGTGAGGAAAGAGAAGACAAATAAAGTAGCCTTGGTACTTGGGGACCGTTTTCTACTTCCACAGGGCAGCAGTGCAACATTTGAACACACTGAAACATCAAATCCACCCGGTGGTGAGAAGCTCAAATCTGACTGCAATAAGAAAACCAAAAGAAAAAAGAATGTGGCATTTGACTTAACACCTGGCAACATCCCAGTCAAACATCCTAAATGGTTCTTCTCATCTGAGCAGAGGCCCATCAAGAGCATCCTCACAGAGCCTGAAGCTGTGAGAGACAGTGGGAGCTGTGCTCAGCTCACAGTGACACAGGCGTACGACTCCCAATGTGAGGATATGAACAGCCAGGACCTGTTTATCACCCAGAAGACTTTCAGAACATCGCCGTCTGAATCTTCCAGTGGCGAAACCAGTGACAAATCTCCTATGACTAGTCCTCATAGGTCGACACCTCGAAACGAGCTGCACACATATATGCCCTGGGTAGAACAGCAGTGTGGAGGAGCATACACAAAAGTACATGTCCAGCAACAGCCCAGAAAGACCAACACGCATGTGCAGAAGACAAACACAGTACAGGTGTGTTTCAAACAACAAGTGGAGGGAGACGGGTTGAAGAAAGCAGATCAGAACCCCAAGAAGGGAAAGTCATCTATTCAAACACAGGTGCATTTAAATGCACACCTTACTGATGAGAAAAAAGTGTCACACCCTTCACGTGTAAAGCCTGCTGTGGTGAAGAAACACCTGGAGGAGACAACTGATTTAAAGAAAACATGGAAACCTGCCACCCAGCAGTCTGCATCATGTTCATCAGAACTATCGGTGCCTCGCCAGAGCTTCATGGAAACCACTTCAACACAGACACAAAACTTCTTCACATTTGAACTATGCTCTTACCTCAAGTTCTACGAAAGCACTAGAGTGGCTGCTCATCATGACCAATTGAAACCGTTGGACCTGAGCCTGCCGCAGAGGGCCCGGAAAGATCTTGGGATGCGTCTGTCACCACTCGGAGGGATCAGAGGCGACGACCACAAAGAGCCCAACTTGCATGAATGTGGTTGTTCAGACAGGACAGATGGAGAGGTAGAGCCTTCTGGACAGCATTGGTCTGCAGACATGACCACCTCCAGCGAGGATGAGCCCCCCGGCCGCTCCGGCAAGCAGGACCTGACCCAGGTGACACCACAGGAAACACAGTCACCCTGCTCCATGCATCCACCAAACAACCTATATCTTATAATAACTTGTACCTGTTTCATAATGTTGTCACTGAATTTAACCAGTCCTTTTGTAAAAATAGGGTTTGACGAAGAGAAAATACTATTTTCATGCTTCTTGAAATTATACTACCTTTTGAAGAGCTAAGCAATATTTCATCACTACTCTGAAAATCAAAGAATAGTGACGTGTGGACCAAATCTGACCCGCAACCCAAAGCTGTGATCACCAGTGAAAGCTGGAGCTACCATGTTATAGTTTGCATCACTTGATTCTGCGTTAACCTGCAGTAGGTAACAATGTAAATACAAATACTTACTCAAAAGACAATGATTTGCATTTAAAATACAAACATACATTTCTGAAGTGAACTTTTATACAACCACAAATGAGCATTATGTATTTTGTGTGGTCTGGAAATGATACAAATACCAAATGAGTGACACAAGCCTCAGTAACGGTTAGGTCTTTCTTACTAATAGAAAAAGAGATATCTGCTACAGAATTCTAAAACCACTTTTGTCAATCTGTCCATCCAAAATATAAAACTCTAAAAAAAAGTATATCATATCAATGTGTTTCAAAGGTGCCTGTGGAATGATTGTTTCTGGCCCACGGCTGAGAGCATGGACTCATCGCTCCCTGACCTCTCAAACTGTTATTCCTTTCTATTGATGGACATGGATTTGACGTTGTCTCTAATAAGCAAACGCCTCATCGGTAAGGCTTGTGTATGCCACGGTTTGATAACAAAGTGACTTTGTGTGTCTTCAGGTGAGGGCAGTCCAGATGAGACTCAATGAGTCTTTCTTCTTCAAGACCAAAGGAGAGGGAGGATCCCCCCGCCCAGAGTCTCCACTGATGAAGCTGGCTCAGGGCAGAGAGCTGAAAGGCAGGAAGAGACACTGACCCACAGTCTTACCGTTTATTGTGAGGAGCCCTTTAATGTCTGAACAGTATTCGAGAGGCTCGGGTTAAAGAATAGCCATGTATCAGTTTTACAGTTCAATTAGAATTGAGCTCTTGGTGCTAGAACAACATTTCATCTAGAGGTGTAAAAACGTGTGGTTCAAAGCTGTGACGCCAGTCAATCATTTCATAATACAAAGAAGGTTCAAGTCATCCTGTTGGATGCAAACATGAAACACACAAAATAGTCCTCTTGAACAATAAGAGAAAAGCTCGGCCTAAAAATTAACTAATAGAGAAAAATGACAAAACTGTATGCGTTCTTTCTTTGTTTGAATTTTCAAGTTAGACTTTCCTATGACATTGTAAAGGCTTTAAGTGCAGAGGTTGTGTGTCATCACAAAGAACGTTTGGAAAGTTGCAGGAATTCCGACATCAAGTTGTAGTTGTGCTTTGTTCATCGCCAGTTAGAAGTGAAAGCATGTCTTTTATCAACCAAAGTGTATTTATTGTGTCTAATTAGTCCTTACTGTACAATATGTAACATACAGTCTTCTAGTTGTGTGTTTTATATTACACAGTGATGCTTCAATATTAAGTGGTGTACTAATCTTTATTAATGTCACCTGAAAAGCTATTTGTTACATGACATACATCACTCTAACCATTTCTGCTCATACATCTTGAACTACATGAAGGTGGAGAATGAAACAATAGGACTTGGAACCTCACACTGTTGCAAACACACATTCAGGATTGACTGCTCCGTCATGTTGAACACTTCACCATGGCTTGTGTTTAAGCTGTTGTGACGAACAAGCATTGTGTCTTTAAAGCAAGCAGGGGACCACTACTCAAAAGAAACATCATAGTATTCCTGCCAGTTATTACTCACAGCCGCTCTTCACCATTAATTGCCCATATCCCTGATACCCGCAGAGGTCGGAAGTAACTAAGTACAGTACTTAAGTACAATTTTGAGATACTTGTACTTTACTTGAGCATTTCAATGTTTTGCTATTTTGTTCTTATACTCCAAACAATTCAGAGGTACATGGTGTACTTCTACTCCTCTACAGTTCAGAGGTACATGGTGTACTTCTACTCCTCTACAGTTCAGAGGTACATGGTGTACTTCTACTCCTCTACAGTTCAGAGGTACATGGTGTACTTCTACTCCACTACAGTTCAGAGGTACATGGTGTACTTCTACTCCTCTACAGTTCAGAGGTACATGGTGTACTTCTACTCCTCTACAGTTCAGAGGTACATGGTGTACTTATACTCCTCTACAGTTCAGAGGTACATGGTGTACTTATACTCCTCTACAGTTCAGAGGTACATGGTGTACTTATACTCCTCTACAGTTCAGAGGTACATGGTGTACTTATACTCCACTACAGTCAGAGGTACATGGTGTACTTTTACTCCTCTACAGTTCAGAGGTACATGGTGTACTTATACTCCACTACAGTTCAGAGGTAAATGGTGTACTTATACTCCACTACAGTTCAGAGGTACATGGTGTACTTCTACTCCACTACAGTTCAGAGGTACATGGTGTACTTCTACTCCACTACAGTTCAGAGGTACATGGTGTACTTCTACTCCTCTACAGTTCAGAGGTACATGGTGTACTTCTACTCCTCTACAGTTCAGAGGTACATGGTGTACTTCTACTCCACTACAGTCAGAGGTACATGGTGTACTTCTACTCCTCTACAGTTCAGAGGTACATGGTGTACTTATACTCCTCTACAGTTCAGAGGTACATGGTGTACTTATACTCCTCTACAGTTCAGAGGTACATGGTGTACTTCTACTCCACTACAGTTCAGAGGTACATGGTGTACTTCTACTCCTCTACAGTTCAGAGGTACATGGTGTACTTCTACTCCTCTACAGTTCAGAGGTACATGGTGTACTTATACTCCACTACAGTCAGAGGTACATGGTGTACTTTTACTCCTCTACAGTTCAGAGGTACATGGTGTACTTATACTCCACTACAGTTCAGAGGTACATGGTGTACTTATACTCCTCTACAGTTCAGAGGTACATGGTGTACTTCTACTCCACTACAGTTCAGAGGTACTTCTACTCCTCTACAGTTCAGAGGTACATGGTGTACTTCTACTCCTCTACAGTTCAGAGGTACATGGTGTACTTATACTCCTCTACAGTTCAGAGGTACATGGTATACTTATACTCCACTACAGTCAGAGGTACATGGTGTACTTTTACTCCTCTACAGTTCAGAGGTACATGGTGTACTTATACTCCACTACAGTTCAGAGGTAAATGGTGTACTTATACTCCTCTACAGTTCAGAGGTACATGGTGTACTTCTACTCCTCTACAGTTCAGAGGTACATGGTGTACTTCTACTCCTCTACAGTTCAGAGGTACATGGTGTACTTCTACTCCACTACAGTTCAGAGGTACATGGTGTACTTCTACTCCTCTACAGTTCAGAGGTACATGGTGTACTTCTACTCCTCTACAGTTCAGAGGTACATGGTGTACTTCTACTCCTCTACAGTTCAGAGGTACATGGTGTACTTCTACTCCACTACAGTTCAGAGGTACATGGTGTACTTCTACTCCTCTACAGTTCAGAGGTACATGGTGTACTTCTCCTCCACTACAGTTCAGAGGTACTTCTACTCCTCTACAGTTCAGAGGTACATGGTGTACTTCTACTCCTCTACAGTTCAGAGGTACATGGTGTACTTATACTCCTCTACAGTTCAGAGGTACATGGTATACTTATACTCCACTACAGTCAGAGGTACATGGTGTACTTTTACTCCTCTACAGTTCAGAGGTACATGGTGTACTTATACTCCACTACAGTTCAGAGGTAAATGGTGTACTTATACTCCTCTACAGTTCAGAGGTACATGGTGTACTTCTACTCCTCTACAGTTCAGAGGTACATGGTGTACTTCTACTCCTCTACAGTTCAGAGGTACATGGTGTACTTCTACTCCACTACAGTTCAGAGGTACATGGTGTACTTCTACTCCTCTACAGTTCAGAGGTACATGGTGTACTTCTACTCCTCTACAGTTCAGAGGTACATGGTGTACTTTTCCTCCACTACAGTTCAGAGGTACATGGTGTACTTCTACTCCTCTACAGTTCAGAGGTACATGGTGTACTTCTACTCCTCTACAGTTCAGAGGTACATGGTGTACTTCTACTCCTCTACAGTTCAGAGGTACATGGTGTACTTCTACTCCTCTACAGTTCAGAGGTACATGGTGTACTTCTACTCCTCTACAGTTCAGAGGTACATGGTGTACTTTTACTCCACTACAGTTCAGAGGTACATGGTGTACTTCTACTCCACTACAGTTCAGAGGTACATGGTGTACTTCTACTCCTCTACAGTTCAGAGGTACATGGTGTACTTTTACTCCTCTACAGTTCAGAGGTACATGGTGTACTTCTACTCCTCTACAGTTCAGAGGTACATGGTGTACTTCTACTCCTCTACAGTTCAGAGGTACATGGTGTACTTCTACTCCTCTACAGTTCAGAGGTACATGGTGTACTTCTACTCCACTACAGTTCAGAGGTACATGGTGTACTTCTACTCCTCTACAGTTCAGAGGTACATGGTGTACTTCT